ATTCAGTCAGAGGGCAAGGGCGACTGGAATGGCCAAAAGGTCCAAAATGGCTTCATTCACATGGGAGTTGGTTGGTGCTGGCTACCAGCTAACATTTCTGGTGGGGCTGTCTGCTGGACACCTCAGTTCTCCCCCACCTCTTTTTCCCTTTCCTTCCTTCTCTCTGAAGCTATGCGGTCTAACCCAGATGCTCTTTCAGTATCTTCTAGATGGTACACACCAGCTTTCCCCAGCTACTGGATATGCTGACTACAGACAGCTCACAAGTGAGTTCTCTCTGAGCATAGCCTTCAGACTAAGGGAACCATCTCATCCAAAATTATGCTCACTCCCCAGGGGAAGTCCACATCTAATGACTGATCAGTGGAGGAATACAGCAGTCTGGCCCCTTTGCCTTAATTCAGAACGCTGAAAGGCTATCCCAACTTCAAAGCTTCTGGTGGGATCTCTGTTGTGATAGCATCATGATTCACCCTCTGCTTCTGCCCAGTCTTTCTTCCTAACTTCCTTTGACAAGTGTTATTTTAAGAGCACTCCTCAGTAAACTTCTTGCACATATGCACATAATTCTCATGTAGGAGTCTGACTCCAGGGAACCTGACCTTAGATGCTCTTTCTCTTTTTTAAATCTAGTTTCATTTCATTCAGTTTTCAAAAAGAAAAAAAATCTTTGTCCTGTGGGAAAACCCTGATTTTTACTGCAAAAAGACCTTAACTTAGGCTGAAAGCTCCTCATCTTATTAATCTCCATATCACAAGGATCTCGCCCAGGGCCTGGCATGTAACATGATTATCAATAAATGTCAGTAAATATTTGATGTGTGAATGTTTATAAGAAGGAAAATATGTGTTTTGATAATGTTACCAGGTGATTGACAGAAAATATATACAGAATATGTTTCCAAAGCTTCTTTAAAAAGACTCATAGAAAGAAATGTTTAGGAGCTCTAAAATTAATCACTTATGCACAGTTAGAAAGAATATGGATAAAATTGGAAAAAATAAGGGTACTTAAACTATTAAGGGCTCAGTTTCCTCATTTATAAAGGAGAGTTTAAATTAGAAGAAGTGGGAAAGGAATTAGTATTTATCAAGCATCTACTTTGTTCCACGCAAGCCCTTTGTATTTATGAGATAGATATTATTCTGATTTTGCAGATAAAACTGAGGAATGGGAGATTAAATAAATAGTCAAGATCACAAAGCTAAAAATATCCAGAACTAGATATGAAACACAATTGTTATGACTTTGTATGAACCAGAAATTGTAAATAAGTATAACTAGTCTCTCTTGCCGAAAATGAGTCAACTCTAGAGGTGGATCAGAAACAAACATCATAAATTTATATGCAGAGGAAACACATCCATTAAGAAGGTGAAATTTCTGGAGGGTGGTTCTTGCAATTTCTCTATATTTAAGGAACAAAACACCAGAATTTGAAGAAACAAAAAAATTTAGACCTAAACTCTAGATTTTTCTATATCATTATCTCACTTTCTACATATTTGAAGTATGAAAAATCCTTCTCAGAAATAGAACATTAATTTTGCTGACTCAAGAGCAAACCGAGATCATCAGCCAAAATCCCAATTATGGTGCACTCTCCCCTTCTTCCCATGATTGAGTCTGGGGGGCAAATCTAAATCTCCAGGTGTCCTTTCTGTCTGGTATATTTTTCATGTTGTAATATCCAGTCCAGCAAAGACTTCTGAAGTTATGTATGGTACGAGAGTTACTCACAGCAATCTTCTTCCTTATGCAAGTATTAAAACTATGATAGAAAAACAAAACCACTAGTCATATTTTATCATAGATCTTGTCATACCTTCAGGAATTGAGGGATTATGTGCCTGTGTCACACCCAGAGGCAAACAGGAAAGTGTGGTTGCCTGAATTGGGAAAGTAACAGAGCAGATTTTTGCTGACCACTTGTTCAGTTGCCAATGATTTCAGATGGTTAATGGAGTAAAAACAGTATTTAAGAGTTAGTAGGGGTGGCATAAATGGTTTGTGCTCAACTACTAACGTAAAGGTTGGTAGTTCAAACCCGCCCTGCTTCCATAAAGATTGCAGCCAAGAAAACTCTATGGAGCAGTTCTATTCCATAACTCATGGGGTTACCACGAGTCAGAATCAATTTGATAGCAACTTTTTTTTTTTTTTAAATGAGGAAATTATAACATATACCTTTTGTTGTTGTTGTTAGGTGCCGTCGAGTCATTTTTGGCTCATAGCAATCCTACGTACAACAGAACAAAACACTGCCTGGTCCTGCGCCATCTTCACAGTTGTTGTTATGCTTGAGCCCATTGTTGCAGCCACTGTGTCAATCCATTTCATTGGGGGTCTTCCTCCTTTTTGATGACCCTCTACTCTACCAAGCATGATGTCCTTCTCCAGGGACTGGTCCCTCCTGATAACATGTCCAAATTATGTGAGATGAAGTATTGCTATCCTCGCTTCTAAGGAGCATTCTGGCTGTGCTTCTTCTAGACATATACCTAGAAGACATTAATTTTTCCCATATATGTTATTTCTTGAGTTTTCTAGTGACAGCTAGTAATAGAATGGTGAGCAGTAGTCTTCACTGAGGTCCTTGTATGGGTTAAACTCCAGTAATAGACTGTAATTTATTTTCTTTATAGAATGGTCAATTGTAGAGTGGGCATCGCAACTAGAATAGCAAGGATATTAAAAAATGAGACCTTATTCTATGGTCTATGAACAAACTAAACTGATAAAATCTTGCTCCTTAGGAAAACAAAGGTTTTGAATGATAATAAAAAAAATCAGTTCATGTTTATTTCTTCAGAAAACATACAATTCACCCCTTACAAAGGGCATTTAAAATTCTTTCATTTATTCATCAGCATTTTGGGGGTGAGATGACAAGTTAAGACTTGTTTTAAACACTGAAATTTATATTCAAGCATTCATGGTAATTTACTTTTTAGTGTTTCCTCAGGATTAGTGCAGAATTCATAGAAGCCCTGCTGGTGCAGTGGTTAACCGCTGGGCTGCAAATCAAAAAGCTGGCAGTTCAAATCCACCAGCTGCTCCTTGGAAACTCCGTGGGGCAGTTCTACTCTGCCCTATAGGGTTGCTATGAGTTGGAATAGGTTCAAAGAAATTAAGTACTATATGAGAAAGCACAAAGAGATCATAGAAGATTAGAGCTTTTGAAAGAGCAGAGGTTTTTTGTGCTTTTCTATATCATGCTGGGAAAATTCTCAGCAAACTCATCTCTTTGAATCTATTCTAGTTTTCTCTCTCTCTCTCCATATATGTATTAAAACGGTTGTCATCAAGTCGATTCTCATGGTGACCCCATGTGTTTCAGAGTAGAACTGCGTTCCATAGGATTTCCATGGCTGTGACTTTTTGGAAGTAGTTTGCAGGCCTTTCTTCCAAGCCACCTCTGGATGTGTTCAAACAGCCAACCTTTAGGTTAGTAGCCAAGTGCTTAACCATTTACACCAGCCAGGAAGCCATATGTATATATGTGTTTGCATACATATATACACATATGCATACACATATGTATATATTTATATACATACGTGTATGTTTATTGATATCTTAATATATATAATATCACATATTTTAATCTAATTTATATTTTATATATAAGGAGAGAGATTAAACAATATGGAAAAACCAGGCCAAATAGAGATAGTTATGCTAATAATATATTCCTAAGCGTATACTAATATTCACAAATACATTCCAATATTAGCATACATAACATATTAATCCAGTTAATGTGTGTGTGTGTGTGTGCGCGCACTGATTGGATAATTCTCCTTCCTTTCCTTTTCTTGCTTTTCCTAAGAATGGGCTATTTAAATGAAATTCTAATTTTAATACTAGAGAGACAGTGGGGCTTGTTTAGCCTAGGTCAATCATCTGTTTAAGCACCTACTATGTCCTAGGCAGGAGTCCTGGTGGTGCAGTGGTTGAAGCACTCAGCTACTAATAAAAGTTCCATGGTTTGAAGCCCCCAGCCACTCCACGGATGATAGATGTGGCATTCTGCTTCTGTAAAGATTTACAGCTTTGGAAACCCTGTGGGGCAGTTCTCCTCTGTCCTATAGGGTCACTATGAGTCAGAGTAGACTTGACAGCACACAATAACAACATGTCCTAGGCACTGTCGTAGTAACTGTGATGACATAATAAGCATTGTCCCTGTCCTCATGTAGTTTACAGTGAAGTTGGAATAGACACTGAACAAATAATCACATGTATAGCTGCTCTATAGTCATGCTGGTGAGAAAATGTTATGAGGGAAAAGAAAAGGATCCTATTACAGGATATAAAAGGGGGCCTTAATCTGGTGGGGGAGAAGGGTCAGAGATGCTGCCTCAAGAAAGTGACATGTAAGCTGAATCCCAAAGGAAGGATGGGAGTTAGCCAGGTGGAAGTGAGGGATAGGCATTATAGGCTGAGGGAATTGCAATATGCCAGAGCCCTTGTTGGATTGCCTGTAGAATAGGAAGGACAAAAGAAAGTGAAGGAATTAAAATTTACTCAACACCTACTGTGTGCCAACTTATTGGTTTTAGGATACTACCTGGCAACCTGAGGGTCAATGTCTGACCATTAATTAAGACATTCTGTGCCAGGCTTTGGGGATGTGGAGAGGGATGAACTACAGTTGATTCTCCGGGAGAGCTCTTGGTAGAGTAGGGTAAAGAAAGCTATAAACAGTTAACAGCAAGGCAATATTTGCTATAATTCAACTATCTACAAGATGCTATTGGAACATCAAAATGGAAACCATGAGCTCTGATGGGAATGCCAAGGAAAACTTCATGAAGGAGGTATTGTTTGAGCTGAGTTTTGAAGGAAAGGTTGGACTAATGCAATGGCATTGGGAAATGAGAGTCCTCTCTGCTAGCCTGAGAGAAGTTGAGTCCAGTTTTTAAGTATTATAGAATAAAAGATAAATAAAATTCATTATAACGGTGTAAGAAGGAAAAAACAACTTGAATGAAATTTTAAAATCTTTTATTTTTTTTCTCCAAAGAACAAAAGAAGTACTATTAACAAATGAGACACAAAAGTACAGTTTTAATATAGTGAATGAAGTGCATATATAACTCATTATAACAAAATAGCCCAAGACTTAAAAACATACAATGTAACCATCAAAAACTCTTAGCAGTGCAGTGTTTATATTGGAAGACTAAGTAATGAATTTATATTCAATTAGTTTGAATATGTTTTTAAAACTTTCAGAGTGCAGATCACCATTAAGAATGTTTTTATTTTAAAAACCATTTAAAAGAATGCATTTCTATAAAAACTAGAAATCAGAAATTTACCTATTACCTAGTGTCTTCATCTATCCAAACATATAGTTACTAGAGTTTAGTATTCCTAATATAACATTTAATAAATAGCATATAAAACCAAAGTTTAATGAGTAAATAATGACATTATGCCATACTAAGAAGACATCAAATGTCTAAAAGTTATAGGAAAATAATGTTAGTTCTTTTAGAACTTAAACGTTTAGAAATTCTAAATAAAGAAATGCATTCTACACAGATAACTGTATGATATACCCAGCCTTCTAACACAATATAACTTAAACAGCATCCCAGGGTCAAGAGTAAATAAGTTCTCTAATATATTCCCCCAAAAAACAATACCAAAATATTTTTTCATTTCATAAGAAGAGTGAGGATTGCAGTTTATCTCCATCAGCAACATTCTAATGAAACATTATTAACATATTAAATCTATAGACTTTTCAGTAACACTATAAGGAATATATTTGAGAAATACAATAATCACTTTCAAGACACGTTGAAAGCTTAACAACCAGTGATTCTTGGCGCACAATTTAGTCAATTGTCAAAGGTTTCAATAATATAACAGATAAAATAAATAGGAAATACGGTAAATACTTAATAAGCTTAGCAGAAAGCTGCAGGGAAAAACAGCCCCCACCCCCCCAAAGTGGGAATTTCATGAAAAAGGTGACTGAATGGAGAAAATTAACGCTTGCTTTATATCTTCTCTGGGTAAGAGATCTGTAGAAAATCGATCTGATGAAAACTGGGTGATTTTTCCACTGCCTGGTCCTTTCTCATCAGTTTTTCTGTTTTCCACTGTTGAGAAAAGAATTATATCAGTTTAATCAGTTTCCACACATTCCTCTCTTCTACTCTGTTTCCAAAGCTCAGAGCTGAAAACGTTTGGTGAATATAAAAATAAAGATCAACAAAACCAAAGACTATACACGAAAAACGCATCTCACTAATGAACTCCGCTGAATTGCTTAGCCAGTTATATGCACGATTGGTGATTAAGGCTTTTCCAGGATATTTCTGAACCGTCACCTCTTTTCCTTAACAACCTTTTTATTCTCAACATAGTCTGGAATTTGGTAGCCAAAACCCATACAGAAAATAAGGATCAAAGATCAAAGTGATAGGTACCTGTCCAGAATTCTCTGGACGATTTTCTTGATCAAAGGGGCTGTTGGGTCCAGACAGACTTCCTTCTGGCTCTTCTTCAGGTAGGCTCTGCAAAGAGAAAAAGAGGATGCGCCTGTGAGCCTCAGAGGTTGAAGACCCAGGCTGGGCAACTTCGCTCTTGCCAAGGTCACAGTGAATACTGCACTTCGCGAGGACTTACATCACTTCCACCTTGGGGCACTGAGGGCCAGCGGCGATCACCTGTAGATTACTGATCATTTTGGGGTGAATCCCAGGAGTGAAGTCTAAACACACGCAGCGCAGCTCTCTAACCACAGCCGCGACAGGACCAGCTGGGGCAGAAAGAGAGACACGTTATGCGACAGGTTGCTGGGAGAGCTCTTCTCCAGCAAGCACACTTCCCCGCGCCCAGGATGCAGGGCAAGGCGCGAGCCTGGGACGCGCCGCTGCTGCCCGGGTACCTCCCGCTGGCAGCGCTCTCTCACCGCTGGCGAAGGGCTTCGGCGGTGTCAGCAGCAACAGCAGCGCAAGCGGCATGCATAGCAAGCCCGAAAGCCCGGGGACGCGGGCGGCGGAGCTGGACCGGAGACTCATAGCGTCAAACAGAGCGTGGCTAGGGAGTGCAGGCTTCGGAGGCTGGAGGCAGGCGAGAGGAAGCGCTGAGATTTGAGGGACTGTGGCTTCCCTAAGCGTCCTGGACTCTCTTTTATCTGCCTTTACCCCCTTCCTCCAGGCAGAAAACTCAAGAGCCGAACACTTGCGAAACACCTAGACTCGGGGGCGTGGTGGGGGGAGGGCTAGGCAGTGTGAGCTGGGGAGGAGAGCGACTGGGAGAAGCTGACTGCACCCTCCGTTGGGGCAGACGCTGGAGCCCGGCCCCGCGGCGATAGGAGCAGTCCTAGCTGAGGAGTCATCCCGCCGGAGCCCCACACTCTCCCTCACCCCAGGCCAGCTAGCGATGGCCAGGTCTCCTGGGGGACAGAGTCCTCCGGGAGGTGCCCTTAGTCTCCATCTAAAGAGAAAAGCTGGAGCCAAAGTATCAGGAGGTTTGACTTGAGAAAACATTTCTGACCCTCCTTAACCCTTTTATTATTGCTGTTGTTATTATAATTTAAGTAATGTAAGCCGTGATTAGAACTGCTGTCACCTGAACGACCTTCCTGTCCTGCTTGCAGGCAAGTCGTTCTAGGTTCCTGCCATTAGTCAATGATTCTCTAGACTCGAGCCAGTTTTAGAAGCCAAGGTAAAATGATAACAGTGTGTCAACTCCCACTTGAAATCCAGGAACAAGTTCCAAAATCAGGTCTGCTTACTGGAAATCCTATACTTGTAGTATGGCAAGCATATGTTTATCAAAATGGTATAAAAAACAAAATCTTCAAAAATCATCCAGCAAATTGCCTTGGAAGATGATGCCTTGCTTCCAGCAGTTCAATACACTATTATTGAATTGGAAAAAGTCATGGTCTTTGTTAGAAGGCAGAGGATGAAGCAATGCCAGAGAGCCCAAGCCAGCTCTAGCTATGGCTCCTCTAGCCAGGTGGGTATTCGACCCAATTTGGAGCTCTGGTGTGAGACCAATGCGCTTGAGAGGCTAGTCTGGAGGTTTAATCTAGCCCTTTCAAGCCCCATGGGACATATGATATCCCACCAACTTTTTTTGTCTCTAGAGTTCTTTGGAAAGGGGTAGCCTGATTTTAACACGTTTAGCCTCAAGGGGGGAGCCTTTTGAAATGCCTGAAACTCAAAAATCCTGAGTGGAAATCTCATTTTTGTGTAGATTGAGCATTGTCTTAGGTGATACCTCCCAGATGTGTGACTTTTCTAAACTTTTGGCAGATTTGCCTTTATTTCTGTAGGACAAGCCTCCTAACTATGTTTCCCAGTAACTGTGTTCTCGTGAGAATGTCCTTATCACAAAAAATGAGCGATTGCCAGTCTTCATTCAGTCATTATGGCCATTTTGGCCTTTACACCATTCATTGTTTCTAAGGGTTACTAGCTCCCTTCTTTTCTAGTTTCTGAATAGTAAATAATGCCTTTGCAGTGGTACTGTTCAAGAGACTGGAACTCCTATAAGTTACTCTTACCCTGCATTCGGTCTTAGGGCCCAGTTATTGCTTCCACATGTAGCAGGTAGAATGCACTGCTGTGAGCAATTCTGCAGTATTCCAGGGCAGCTGTTTCTGCTTCTTGGCTATTAGTTCTGCTTTTGTTATAAAGAATACATCCAATCAACAACCAGCTCGTTGCCGCTGAGTTGATACCGACTCATACCAGCCCTATGGGATAGAGTAGAACTGCCCCATAGGGTTTCCAAGGAGCGGTTGGTGGATTCAAATTGCTGACCTTTTGGTTAGCAGCCGTAGCACTTAACCACTACACCACCAGGGCTCCATGAAGAATATTTTCCTGAGATACAAATGCCTTTAGTTTTATTTATTTTACCTCTAAGTACTGCTTTTGTAGTAATGAAGAATGCATTATAGTGATAATTTTCCTGAGATGAAAAAATCCCTTGGCTGTATTTATTTGGGCTGGAAGTACTGCTTTTGCAGTAAGGAAGAATGTATTGTACTATGTTTTGACAAGTTTCATGAAACATAACAAAAAGGCTGAGAAGAAGGAGACTAGAATAAAATGCATGTGCAGTCATTGCCAAGTGCCTTCATGTTTTACCTCATGTTTTGAAAATTTTCAAGAAATAAAAATAAAGACCGATTTTATCATTGATTCATATCAGCAGGATTTACGTTGTCCAGGGTCCACTGGGACACATGGATCCCAGATAATGAGTATCAGAATCTATAATGCATAATAAAAATTCTGAATTGGTTCTTTAATCAACATGCCTTCATTAGTGAAAACACATAATATCAACAAAAAATTCAAAGGAGAAAATAATTGGGTCTTGAAAGGGCTAGAGGTTTGAATCAACTTGGTAGCAAGATGGCACTCATTCTGGATTCCTCCAAACAACCACAATGCAGGGCAGGGTTCACACACAAGCTCCTGGAATCCAGGTGACCAAGTCTATTTTCACAGGCCTAATTTAGTCTCGAGTGACCCTCGAGCTGCCCCCTGAGGTTGAGGGGTGAGATAGCTTCCTTCTTCTTCTTCTCTCTTATCTGTGGAAAAATTAGAACAATGAGGTTTTAATGGCTAGGTCTTCCACATCTCTAACTCCATGGCAGGCCTGGATATAATACTGGAATGGAACATGGACTTGCTTTCATGGAAGTCTAACTAGATCCTGTTCTGGATTATTTTAATGCTCATGTGTCCACAGTTGCTTGCAAAGGTAACTGGTAAACATGATGGCAATCAGAAACCAGTCATGCAAGAAACTCTTTTCCTTGTCCTCAATGACCAAGGTAAATTTTATTAACTCCCCCACCTGTCTTCCTTAACAGAACATCACCTCCTTTGCTGAGAGAGAAGGAAGTGTCATAGATCTTTAGAACTTTTGGTCTGGAAGGAAACTCAAGAGATTCTCTGCTGGGAAGTTTGGCTCTCATTTTGTAGGGACCTAAATGGGAAGTTCTCTGTCCTTCACAGCTTCCTAGTACCATGTGCATCATACCTGACTCAGATTATGCAACCCTTCATCCTTCTGGGGAGTGGCAATCTGTGGAAAACAGTCTGTGGATTAATTATATTGACTTTTTAGAGATTAAAATGTATCTAAAGACAAGAGATAGGCCTCCCTGATGTGGATAAGAACAAACTTAAAAAATATGACTAAAGATCTTGGGCAATTAAATTAAGCTTAACCACAGGGAATAAACCATAGTATGATAAAAGTTCTGAAAACAAAATAAATTTAAAGACATAGATTATTGGGCACTTA